AACAAATTCTTCAGGCACGTTTACATACATAAATATGTACATGTTTATGTATGTGTATATCTGGTGAGCAAACAGAATTTTAATTTTAGCAAACACCTTAAAATTTTTGTAAATAATAAAAAATGCTATTACAGAAAATATTGAAACCCAAAAAACAAAAAAAAATGCGCACAACAAAATAATAAAAGCAACGACGAACATTTTATAAATAATGTTGGTGTTTAATAATTGCAACAATACAAAAAATGTATGCTCAGTAGGTTGCTCGCGGTTTATGCATGCAACAGTACTATGTACATACGTAATGAGTACATGCCAATGTACATATGTATCTATTTACATACATACATACATATGTGTGCAAATTACCTGCACTCATCCATACACACGTGCGGTATAATATATGTACTCTTCTGCACTGCAAGTGTTAAAAACAACTGCTAATTTATTTCGCTTATTAAGCTTCATAAACACACTTGAACTCGACGAAATATGTCTGCATTTGTGTTTTTATTTCAACTTCTTAACCCTTGTGCGGAACCCTAGGTACAGCTGTACCTATAATCAACTTTGAACGTTGAAAGAAATCATTTGATTATCCCAAAACAATTTTTTTTTGTAGTGACGAACAAAAGTATGGGCACAGAGAATATTTCACAATACATACAAAGTTTTTTATTCTAACTTCTTTTCGATAATTTTTTCGAAATATAGTTCATACCATGATAAAAATATAGTAAGGTAGAACCGCTGAGAGTCACTTTTAAAATTCTTGACGTTTCCAAACAATTTAATTTTTAAATTTACTCACAAACTCACACACACATTTTCATTTTCAATCTCAAGCAACAACAATTTCGAACAATTTCATTTTTTTTCACTTTTATATGATTTTAAAATGTTGGCAAACTTCCAAAAAAATTATGGCCGACAAATTGAGAGAATGGTTCTCCCTTGCTATGTTTTTATCATGGTTCATACTACACCAAAAAAAAACATAAAAATAAAATCTCTAAATTGTGTGATAAGCTCAGGAAAATTCAATAAATTTGCGTACGAATTTGCAACTTTCTATTTAGATTTTTTGGCAGAGTTCTAACAAGGTTGCAGTTTTCAGTTTCCGCACAAGGGTTGAATGTAAATTTTTAATATAAACTGTTTTTGTTAAATAAGTTATTCCCTTTTACAAGTGCTTATCATATTGACAAATTGTGAGTATTATTTTTTATTATTTAATTTTGATTCTTTTCTTATAATAAAAAAATTGTTTATTCTTTTACACAAACCGTGCAATATTTGAACAAAAAAATTAACAAACTTTCATGAAAATGTCGAGCATTTTCATGGGATTTTCAGAAGGAATATGAGTATGTACTTTTGTAGCCCATTCAATTTTAGTAAAGAGAAAATTTGGAGTAGAGTCCTTGACTTTCCCCGAAGCAGTCTATTGGAATTTCCTTTAGGCTTGCAGCTTTACTACACTTGGTATTGGACCATTCGCATAAAACGTGAGTTTAGCTACTACTCAATTTTCAGTGTGAACTGTTGAACTTAAGCTCACTTTATCGGTACACAAATTTTATCTGAGCTGGGCCGTGCTAGATGGAGTAAGGACGAGTTAAGTACTTTAGTTTGTATGGCCTTCGTTTTTAAACATTTCCCAAAATTGTGTTTTGGAAGTAGTTTTACATTGCCTAGTCACTTTTTTCCTCTTTGGTATTTCACTTTCACTTTAACATTTTAGTCTAGATGGATACTTATAATTAATGACATTGTTTCTGCAAACAATCTATAGGGGCACATAAAACTATAGCGTAACAATTTTGATTTTGATTGTTTTTTTTTGTTTTACTTAAAATGATTTTATGGGTATGTATGCAGTCATTCTATGCCTTTGAGTGGTATTTTAGACTCAACATATCTTTTGGCTTTCCTCCTTTAGAAGGCTATAAATGTTCTCCTTTATTTATACTTAGTATGTAGGCACACGCATATGTACATTAGGGTGGTCGTTAAATGTAGAAAGCAAATTTTTACATCAGCTTTCCTAATTTCGAACCGCTACTTCGATGCTACGATAGTTGAAGATGTCACATATAATTGTTTGTGCCGATTGAAGTCGGCTAAGGCGTGTCGCACAGTGGTCAATGTTCATATTACCTTATGAAGACGTCTTAACCGACTCCAATCGGCGCCAAAATTTATATGTGATATCCTCGACTTTAGTAGTATCGATTTTGGGTATTAAATGAAAAAAAAAAATATTTTTTAATTTTTTGAGTCCCTAGAGGCATCTGGCCGTTGACCCCTTTGCGACACGCTTTAACAGACTCCAATCGGGACCAAAGTTTATATGTGATAACTGTGGCCGTGTTATTACCGATTGAGGGGGTGAGACTGAAAAAAGTCGTTCATTTTATTTTTCTAAAGATCACCCTAATGTACATACATACTTACATTGGTAAGCATTTACGTACATATGTAGTACTTATATGCCTACAATCGCATACTCATATCAACTACATATGTACATATATGTATATATCCAATTCACTGAAATGAATTGCCAATAAACTAAGCAATTCGTAACATTTTCCAACCATCAACTATCTGCTAATGATAGCACATCATGCGAGATCGAAATGAAAAATTCCATCCAAAGAGTCGTGCTCTAGAGAACATTGAGAACATTTAACTGGTAGTATTTATTAGCAAACATATGTATATGTATGTAACTACATACATATATCTCTATATATCTCTACGAGCAAGTCTTTCTATTTAAGTATCCATATACATACTTATGTAGGTATGTACATATGTACCTAGCTACATACCACGTTGATCAATTAAATTTTCGTCCATCAACCAAACAGTCAATAACCTCAGCTGCCAGTGTGGCAATGGAAATGTGTATTCGCACTAAAAAGTGACAATATGTTTCAACAGTTATGTGCTCGTAGATGTGTGTGTGTGTGTGTCTGTTGGGCAAAAGTGAGAATTTTCGTTCGAAATGCTTATCATGGCATGAATTTTACTTTTCCACAATCAACATCAGAATATTTGCGCACAAGTTAGGCGTAATCATTGTTATTTGGTACAAAGTTTTGATGTCAGCACTTAGCTTTGATCTGTCTATATGTGTACATATACTTCATATATATGAGTATTTACTCTACCGCTGCACGTTTGCACTTGGAATGGATTTTTGTTATGCTTAGAATGCTAATGCCTGCTCGATGCTTGCCACAAACAAATTAGCAAGTTTAATGCACACACTTGTGCACTCGCAAAATGAACAAGTGCACTCTGCCATACAAAGGCCCACACACACACACACACTCAGAATTGTGTAGGAAGATATCTAATGGCGGTCATTTACAAGTTGTGAATGAGCAGAGTTCAGAATCATTTACATTGCCTATAGTTTATGTAAAGTTGGCGGTGTGCTCAACATTACGGTATCATACGTAAGTACATACATATGTATATGAGAAAATGTCACGATTTGTTATATTTTTCGACAAAAGCGTGCTTTTGGTTTAAAATCGTGGCACACTTATCTTTGACAATGCATTATCTTCAGTTTTGCCTAGAGAACGAGATTCTATCGCGAAAAAAAGATTTAAAATAAACAACTCGTGCTCATATAGCCGTAGTTGTGTACATATGTAACGCATACGACCCGTAGCACGATACACAGTCAGCTAACACCTTAACTTAAAAGTTATATTATTTAAAAGTAATTAAATATTGGCGTGAATTATTTTTCTACGGTATTCTTCACGAATATATATATTAATTTCGAGTGCGCTAATACAAATTTTAAAATTGGAATTTTTGTTTCGTAAATCATCGTCATCTTATAATCAATGTACATAATTTTTTTTTCATTTGGTGGCACACTAGTTTTATTACTCTAGATTGGTTCGTTTTGGCAAGAAGAACATTTTCACCGTTTATTGTTGACATTTTGAAGTATCTTAAAAAAAATATCATGGACTCTTATATGAACATTGTATTAAGGCGCTGGCCCAATGCAGGCTTGCTTTGGGTGCCTTGCTGACTTTAGTTTGCTTTGATTTAGTTTGAAAACTTGTTTGGCCCAATGGCGGCTTGAAACGCTGTCAAAGTAACCAGCTCTCTGGTTGAAAAGTCAATATCTGTTCCCTTAACATTAATTATTGTTTTCCTAGAAAACTCTAGAAGATGTATCAAAAACTTTCAGATTTATTTTAAATTAATGCGAAATAATGTTTGTATTTAAAAAAACTGGCAGTAATGACACATACATATGTATATGTACAGTTACTAAAAAAACTATAACTTAAAAAAGCAATTTACTTGAAGTAGAGCTATAAGAAGTTTTTTCCTCTCGTGTAAAATTTGTAAAAGTGAGCTTTGCAATTTTTTACTATAATATAACGATATGTTATATTTGATTTCGAATTGCTTTTTTTTAAATTAAGTAAGCAAATTTTTGTTTGCATTTATGTATTTTGAACAGGAACATGCCTCTTTGTCAAAAGCCTACAAAACGCTTTCAAATAAAACATTTGTCTATTTAAAACTTTGAGGCGCTTAAAGCAAGTGAAGAAAAGCTGCCATTTGGCCAGCCTTTATACATTTCAGTATGTTCCAAATAATTTTTGACACTTCTCGGAGCGAAGCAAGCAAAGCAAGCCTGCATTGGGCAGTACCTTTAGACAATTTCCCAAAGTTATTAAAAATTGATATGATTTTTTCGAGTAAAAATTAAAAAAAATTTATGATTTCGGTACTTTTTCGCCTTAATAAACGTTTTAAAAAAACTATTCGAGTGAAGACATTTAGAAAATTTAGGATCCGCATTGGTAATATATGTGCAGTGCAGAGTCTCTACTGACCCTGGATATATATGTACATTTATATTTTCCGATTACCTTAATTCCAATACACATACATTCATTTTCCGCTGTACAATATTTCATCTAATAGCATTTATTTTTTTATATTTCCAGGCGATGTTTATGTCGAATATATACAGGGACTTCCACACCTAACAGTGCCGCTGCCAAGCAGAATGGAAAAATGCCGTTTTGCTCTGAGGCCTGTCTCGCACAAAGTGGGCGATTTAATCGAAATGTTGAAAATTGAAGATCACGGTATTGATCGAGCGGTTGTGCTGAATAAATGCGGTGTACGGATAGCGTCCACATGCGCCATCGATAGCCTTATGGATGAGCCATTTTGGTGAGTAAAAAATAAATTTAATTGAAATAAATGAAGCAAAAATAACGTCGAAAATGTGACGTAGTAGGTGTGCGCCGATATGGAACCGCCATTAGGAAAAAAAACCTTCTTTTTTTGGGGTATTAGTCGGACTAGGAATCAAACGCAACTGGTTGGTTGGTCACATTGGGTTTCTTCTTCTGCTTATTTGGCACTACCACCGTTTGTCGGTTTGGGCCGGGTCCAAAAAAACTTCGCCCAATTGTCTCTCGACTTTACGAATTTGTGCCAGTTATTCATCCCGAATACAGACAGGTTCCTCTGCACTTGGTTGTTGTTGTTGGAGCGGCACTATTCAGTCCCGCCTGGCCCAAGAAACGAGCTGTTTCGACGAGGTCGGGCCAAAGGAAGAGGGTTTTTACCTTAGTACGGTTGAGCTAACATGTGAAGAGGTGGTTTGTGTCATGGAGGGAGTCTCAACATGCCACGCATTCATTGAGGATATCGGGGTCAAGTCTGGAAAGTAGCTGTGGAGGCGGCTGCAATATCATGACCGTAATTGGACCAGAATAACGCGGTTGTCTCGTGGCATTTGAAGCGCTATGTCTTCGATAGGTGGTTCATAGGGCGATAGTCGTGGTAGGTAGTGACCACGGTGCAGCGAACAAAGGTGGCGCCGTCAGTGGTACCGCTACTTTGGTTTTGCCGGTTTTGACAGTTGTGGTAACTTGTAAATAAACCTTTGTTTACAAATCAGCGAAAGAGAAATATGAATTATTAGTGAAAAATCAGTTTAAATTGTGTTAATTTGCAACTTGTGAGTGATTTTTGAGTTGAAGACTGCGTAAGAACTAATACAATGAAGTGATGTGTATTAAATTGCGACAGCCGTCAATATGCAAGAAGCCCAGATGCAAGTGTAGCGCTGGGACGAGTCGCTGCATTTTGTGTACATAGGGCACGGCAAAGTTGTTCCCGAAATGTTTCTCAATTATTATTTTAAAAGCATTTCCTCACAATGATTTTGTTTCTGCTCTACGCAGCCTCCATTAGCAAGTTAACTAATAAATCCCGCAGAGATGCTGCTGCAGTTTTCTGTAGCAGCCTCAATTGCAAAGCAATGGAGTGCACTAAAATGTTCACTGTTCTCTAACAGATTAGGTGAAATATTTTTGCATTTAGCAAAATTAAAACACGTTTTTCGCTGTAAAGTGAACAGCTTCGGCAGTTTCAACTCGTTCTTCTTTTCGCTCTATTCTTTGTTTACTTGTGGTACACAAAAGTCAACGCCCAGGACGGCGCAATCTTGTATTCTATCATTCTTGGGTAGTGACCGAATCTCTATGAACGACATTAATTACTCATCGGCACTTTCACAAACAAGGGTCTATTGCGGTACTCACGTCTGTGGCATCCTAGCAAAAACTACTTGCTGAGCATTTTGTTATGCTCCCTTACATCAGAATGCATCCTGTCGCCTTGTAAGTTGCCAACAACGTTTATTTGTCTTTTCTAAACTTTTTTAAAAGTACTTCCGGCAAGCGACTGGAGGAACTTGTTGCGTCTCTGTATTGCGGTTGTGTGCGCGGAGAAGGAGAGCTGCCAAAGGTAGCCGCTAAGACTATCGGGTTGTTCACCGTCAGAATTAGTGTGCCATCCACGTGAATGCCCAATTGAAGCCTCATTTCCTTTCTGCATGTGGTGAAGAGGGCTGCCGTTGATTTCGTTGGAGAGAGGACGCCAATATCGAGCAATCGTCGGCATAATAGACCAGGGAGAATGCCTCCGGTGGCAGAGAAAGCTTTGAGATGTAGAAGTTAAATAGTGAGGGAGTTGTAAAAATCTGTCCATGACCACCTTCGGCAGTCAAAAGTGGACCCAGGGTTTTTAGATATCCAGAGAACTCATCTCTGCTCTTGAAAATTCCATAATCGACCAGAGAGTAACCGAAAACAAATCCTTGAATAGTGTCAAGAAGATTATTAAATTGGTAAATGCCACTCCTTTGGAGAGCTTTGACTCAATCTTTACCCACCCACTCCGGAAAGGTCTTGCAGCTCCTTTAATCACTCGTCCTTGGCGGCTTCCAACCGTGGATACAAAATTTGTAATTTTTTAGTTTCAACTTTAAAAATTTTCTGATTAAATAATAGGGTTTCATATCATGGTACAAATATTCTGCAGAATTATCTAATACGCTTCGAAAATCTATTAAACAGCTGGCATATAATCTAACAATAAAACAAGTTTTATTTCCTTTCAGGCTACAAATAAATGACAACAAATATGAAGTTATTCCTCCCAAAAGGAAAAAACTCGACTCAGAAGACTTAAAGAGGCTAAGTGATGTTAGAACTTTAGTAGCACAAGTACGTTTTGCTATAACAATTTATACATACTAGTACTTGGATAATGCATAATCAATTATTTCATTACAGTTATACGAAGCTTTACACGTCGGCGAATATCATTTGCACAAAGAGCAAGAGTTAGTGAAAAAAATAGAAAATTTAAAATTTGAAATATCACCACTAGAAATGGTAAGACATTTTCCCGATTCTAAGCTAAACAAGCATATATCTATGTGGAAATTTCTTGTGCTTGTAGGAAAAGCAAGAATTAACAAAACTTGCGGAACGTAAAACTGTCATCGCAACATGGGTCGGTCTCAGCTTGATGGCGGTGCAATTTGGCGTTTTAGCGCGTCTCACCTGGTGGGAATATTCTTGGGATATCATGGAACCCGTCACATACTTTGTAACCTATGGCACAACGATGGCCATATATGCCTACTACTGCCTAACAAAAACGGTAAAGATGTTTAGCTTTTTTTTTAGTTTCTTAAATTAGGTATTTTGGTTATACGGTAAGAGAAGAAATTTATTGCCGCACTCTGAGCTAACTGAGCTACTCGGTTCAGTTAGGCAATAGGGACCGAACATAACAGTTATTGATGAAAACTGTCTTTGAAAAATTCACTATGAAGGAAATGTGCTACAACTATGTGACATGTACCAATCGATTTCTTTTTTTTAACGAGAATAAAATTTGAAAATAAATTTGTATTTGTAATTTTTATGCAAAGTTAAAAAAATAACAATTATTTTTTATTTTTATTTTAAAAAATCAAAAAAACAATTATTTTTAATTTTTATCTAAATAATATGTAAATCACAGTTATTTTTGATTTTTATATTATATGTCTTAGATAACAGTTGTTGAAGACTTTTATTTATAAAAATCAGTCACTGACTTTTGTTTTTTAAGTCGTACGTATAAAAGTTATTATAATTTTTCGCAGTTAACAAGTTGTTGGGGAACCAAAGTTTAATAAGACTTGTACAAATGACTTTTATAAGTATAATTTTAAAAATAAGTGACTGATTTATATTGATGACTTTTACAAATAAAAGTCTTTAATAATTGTTATCTAAGATATAGAAATAATTTAAAAATCAAAAATAACTGTTATTTGCAGATTATTTAGATAAAAACTAAAAATAATTGTTATTTTGGATTTATAAAGTAAAAATCTGAAGAAACTGTTATTTAAGGAGTAATTAAATAAAAGTCAAAAAATAATTGTTAAAGAGCGATTTTTTTACCTGTAGATGTAACACTCCAACGTGAAGAGAGGGCTAGAAATGGAATTTAGTAGAATTTTGGTAGGCCAGACAGCCCAAAATCGATTTTCTAAACACGAATAAAGAGAGAAAGAATAAAAAGTAAAAGTAAGAGCTTTAGTAGTATATTGCGGTAAATAGAACGTAACTCGTTCATCTAAACCGAAAATACTTTGTACTGTCCTCCAAGCAAAATGTACACAAAGGATCATCGATGATGGCTATGGTGACCATATAGCGTTCCCATTAATTGTGTCCTGTAATCAGTCCTATCAGTTCTCGCAGCTCTCTTTCTCTGCCTGAGCAGAAAATTCTGCATCGTCCTGTCTGTCCTTTCAGGAAACTCTTGGTTATTTTAAAGCTGTCTGTATTGAGGCAACAGTTCTCAAGATCCGTTTTCTTGAAATCGATGAGATCCCTGCTGCACTGGTCTGTATTATTGACATGCTAATTAGCTCCAAAAAATCGCTTAACGTACCTTCCTGGAGCGCTATTGAGGAGCGACGAGCGGTTTCCAAGAGCTTGCGAATATCTTGGTTGTCACTTTGGATCCTGATTTGAAGTGTGCGCCACTTTTTCCAATTATCCAGTCTGCTACTTTACGCATTACAAAGTCTTCCGATTAAACGATCGTTCTCATCACATACACCCAAAGCAAAACAGCATCTTTAGTTACCCTCCAGGGGCAGACAGCTTCAGTTATATTTTCAGTCTTGAAGCCGTCTACATATCAAGTTCTTACCGAGCTCTCCAAGAAAGTTTATGGATCTGTCTATTTCTCCCATGTAGGATAGCTGGTGACACTGATACTGATACTGTCTACCAAAAGAGAGGCTCCGCAGAAAGACGAAGTCTAATGTTTCTAAGCATCGGAAGGGTCACAACTTCCAACCATAAATTTTAGGGTATACCTTTGATAGCTTCCTTTGCTTCTCCGCGCGTACCGTAATTACTAAGTACAGAGCCACAAGGACGTTGCTTACGTTGTACGGACAAGCCATCAACGACATTCACTGAGAGACAATCATCACCTTCAAAGAATTCTTCCCGTGAATGTTATCTGATTTCGACCACCACCCATAGCAGACGAGGATTAAAGTCTGAATACTGTAGCAGACTCAAATCTTACTTATACAGACTCGACCCTGACATAATCAATATATATCCGGTCTGTGAAGCCCCTAGCTAACCAACCCGATCCTTACGCTAAAACCAATTGTGGTAGGACGCAGAAGCTGGATTAAGACAATTTCATAGGAAGTTTTACCTCATCCTTATATTTTTTTCTACAGTGTTATGGCGGATTTCCACTAGGCATTAAATTACACAAAGTTTAATGACACACTTGGGCATTCAAAAATACCTGCGCCATTACGTTAAGAAAATGTATCATTAAATATATTTCTAAATTTTTTAAATTGCACACATTTTTCGTAATTTCAATGCCTGGTGGAAATTCGACAGAAAATTTACAAAATTCTAAAGATAGGGGATCTCAATTTTTAAAGACTATTTTTAATGTAAATTTTTTTTCACTATCTTCTAGGAATACAATTTCGAATCGGCTAGAGATCGCCTCTTCCTTATAAGCATACACAAAAAAGCCAAAAGGAAGAACTTTGACATTGAGAAATATAATATTCTGAGACGCCAAATAGCCGAAGCTGAATACGATTTACGTCGTCTGCGCGATCCTATCAATTTGCAACTGCCGCCACATATTGATCGTTCACAACGGATTACATCAAACGAGCCACCAACGAGTGTCACCAGCGAAAAGAAACCCGTCAGCTTCCGACTGCCCTTCTTAGAACCGAAAAATTAAATAATTGTTATACATACATACATGCATATAAGCTGCACAAATTATGATTTCAACATAAAGACAAGCAACAACAGAAATACATACCAATAATGTTGAGTTTAACGAAAGCACAAACTGGCTGCAAGCAAATACATACAAACAAATACATACATATTATTGATAGAAGAAGCATTGTACGTAAATACAAACAGACAAACAGGCGCATACACACAACAACCGATAAGCAGATTTACTTTAATTTTAAGAAGTAGTTGTTGCATATATATGTATATGTATGTATTTACTATACTAATAAGATTTGTTCATCGTTCATTTGTTCAGTGGTTTTAGTTATTTTATTTCTATATACATATGTATGTACGTTGCTATAATCAAACCTAATGAGAGTTGTTATTTTTTGCCTTAACCCTTGTATACCTATCCATATTGATTAGGAGAATTTTAAGTGACCTTCCTATTGCATGTATGTATGTAAGTATATATATATATACGAATGTTTATGAGCTCGATGGTTTTTTAAGCTAGTTAGATTTTTATTAAATTATAGATATTGTTGCAAGGCAATTGTTTGGTTGTTTTATCAACTTACATACTTAAGGTGTAATAAATGACAAAATCGCAAATCAAAGACGGTATAACTACTTACATACATACATATTATGTACTGAATTACCTATCGACTATGTAATAAGCATTCATTGTTGGTGTATATTCGCTCAAATGTGCTAAAACTTTATCTATATGTTCACTAAGCCACGGATGTATACTTTTATGTATAAGTGTAAATCTCAGCTGTAAACGCATACTACCTTTACGTATAGTTGTTAAAAACTGTTGTTAGCAGCCTTGTAAAATATCTACTACATCCTTCTCACTATTTAGTAAATTTTATGTTTATTATTTATTTCTAAAGAAAAATCAAACAAAAATAACAACAACAAAAAACAATGTACTATAATTTAAGCGGTTGATTCAAATAAATGTTTATTATTTAATAATTTTCATTTTTATTTCTTCTTTGTTTTTCAACCAATATGCCGAATATCCACTAGGCATTGAAATGCTAAAAAAAGTTGGTGCTATTTTTATTTTTAATTCTACTTTAATTAGGGGAATTTGGTAATTGAAATATGTACACAATAATGGATGTCAGACCAATGAAAAAGGTTTTAGTTTGAAAACATTTTGAAGAGGATTGCCAACAGTTTATAAATTCGAACTTAATTAAACTATTCAAAAGTTCACACCATGCAAAACACGAGAAATAGGCAGCACGCGTCAACGGCAACAAATTGGCGGATTTATTGGCGTAGTGAAAAAATTATCAAAAATTCTCACACTGTTGCATTTCGCGTCAAAAGTATTCTCCAAAAGCATCTAATTTATGCCAAAGATAGAATTGAAAAAATAGGAAGCGGTATAGCGAGTGAATAAAATTCATTTCGTTTTAGATTCTAATTTTACATTAAAAATTAAGTTAAATATTAAACAAGTAATTGTTAAGCTAAAAACAAAATCGACTTTCATTCTCATATAAAAATTTAAAAGTACCGTTAATTTCTTCATGATCCACTGATCTGAAGTACCATTTTTTCTTAAAAAAAATAATAATTATAGTAATCGGTTAACGGGGTCCAAAGTTACGCGGTAACATAAGTAAAAAATATATATTTCGACGAATTGATAACCTTCTCTTTTTTGTGAAGTCGGTTAAAAAGAATGAAATTGCTCCAAAGTTACAATAAAACACAATTTTTGATCGTTAAAACATTTTTCTAACTTCTCTATGACTACGGGCCAATACTTCTGGGCGAAAAAATTATTTTATGCATTTGCAAAAAAAAAACGCATTATTTCAGAAAGTGCAGGTTTTTATATTCTCTTTCGTAAGTTAAAAGTCCGTACTTTTAAATAGAAGAATAAAAAAAATATTTTTTTTTTTTTACCGACTTCAAAATAGGATGAGATTATCAATAATTCGGATTATTTTGTTTTTATGTATGTTACCGTATAACTTTGAACCACGTTAACTGATTTCGATGATTCCTTTTCTATCGTAAAGGTATTGGTGATACCATACTTATTTGGTTGGAATTGAAGTCGGTTACGTTTTTTGCTTAAAAATTACTTGTTACATACAGTCATGTGAAAAATCATAGGGACACGACATTTTGACCAGTTTCGGCTATTTCTCTTTTGATTGTTTTATGTTTATTATTTTTTTATAAAAACCCAGTTTCAAACTTTGCAGAAAAATTAGAAAAATGCAACAAAATTTTACAACAACAACAAACTTTTTACTAAGAATTTCAAGAAAAAATCTAAGCATGCAGTTTTGTTGCCCATTAAATGCTAGGAAATGGAATTTTTAAGTGGCTGGTGTTATTATTTTCTTAATAAAATGTTTGTTGTTGTTTTAAAACTTTGTTGAATTTTTTTAATTTTTCTACAAAATTTGATAATGAGACTACATTTTTAATTTTGCAACTTCCCTAGAAGCATCTTTCATTAAAAAACACTAGTTGAAAGTACTTCAGGTGAATTAAAAAAAAGAAAGTGGTTGATATAACTTTTGAAATTTTGTAAATAAATTGCTGTACAATTGTGTTTCGAGACAACGGAATTTGTTAAAAAACATATTAAATGGGTGCCCATTAGAGTGGTCCAAAACAAGTAAAGTCGGAATTTTAATGCTCTCACTCCCTAGGCTTGTTCTACATCGAAAAAAAACATACCCCTATTTTTTTATTTTGAAATCAAAAAATATTTAGAGGTCGCTCAAAGCTTTCCATTTATTTTATATGGGAAAAATGGGAAATGGTATTGAATTCTTGAAAATCAATATTTTTCGATCGGAAACTCTGGTTACTATTTCACAAGTATGTATTTTTGGACCCCCCTACAGTGCCGATATATAAGCAGAACCTTAAATTTGTATGTACTTACATATATATAGTATGCATTGCTACTTATGTATGTAGCTCTGTAGGCATGCTAGCCCAAACTAGCGTTATTTTCGCAACCAATGCACATTTACTTTCCCTACGCAATATGCTTAAAAATACTCGTACCTATTGTAATCAACTAGAATTAACAAAAACTGCTAAGGTTGTGGTCACAAGTAGAATTTTATTTGAATTTAATATAACTCAATTCCACTACATAATTCTTGAGGCGCGTCTGACCAAAAGTTAATAATATCCACAATGCTATAGGAGGGTTCACGATGTGTATACTATAAAATTTATAGAAAGAGCAAAAAACCGAACTCAAAATGTACTGGAAATATCATGAGTGTTCCTGACTTCTGATGAATGGTTTTTATCAGGCCGGAAGGCAAGGTTAATTTCCCCAAGACTGATGTCCAAGCTTACAGAAAACGACACGAAAAGAAGTTACCGCTAATTTCCTATGCTTTTACCTACTATACATCATCCCTTAATAAGAAACATCGGTTAATTCATACTCCAATAAGTAGCACCATACACTATTCCTGAGAGGAAGTCATTGACATTTTGACTCAGCCTAATAATACCTAGGAAACTTCTTAACTATCTACTATCCGTCTATCAGTCAGCCAACCGTCTAAACTCGCCGGTACATCAGAAGCGTAGGTTTTTTTAAAGATCATTTTTAATTTATGCATAATCTGATTTTTTTTTTTAACTAATACGATTAATTTCCAAAAAGTACATTCATAACAGATTGCTGATGTTTATGCAGAAAACGAAGCCTGAAAATATGTATGTACCACAAAACTATAAGCAAAATGTATACAAATTTACACATTGTGCTTACAGTTAAGTTGTGCATATTTTTGGGCTTCGTTTGCTGCATAAAAATCCGAAATCTATTCATAACTAAAGAGTGGTTGTGCTTAAAAATATAAGTTACTTTCTTGCGCTAATATTACTTTAAATAAAAAATAAAAATTTCATTTAATTTTCTAATCAAAAATTAAAAAGCTTTTGCATCTAACTATGTTCTAAATATTAACAAAACTACTCTCTGCAAAATCAAATATTGTTTGACAAAATGTGATTAACAAGAAGTGTTTAAAAACTATTTAGCTTATAAGTTGTAAACTATTTATAAAAACTGCATAATTATAAGTGCTCACTTACTTGTACATATTTACTATTTTAGCAACAACATTTTTGAGCGCAATAAAATAAAACTCCATTAAATATAAACTTCAAATGAACTCAAAACAAAGCGCCATGCTATAATTATGCATATTTTCAAGTCATAACCGCATTTTGTAATTTACTGTGCTACTTTCAGGGACCGAGAACAAAAGGTATCATCGAAACTAAATGTCGTTCTCGTATTTTTGTTTCCAAGAACGCTTCAAAACAAAAACCGAAATTAGAAGCAAACTGTCGAGAATGTTATCAATGGGAATTATATAAGAACAAAATGTGAACAATACTTTCGGGAAAATTTCTGAAAGAACAAAATGGGAACAAAAGTCTAAGGAACTTTCTGGCAGACAACGAAACCGGAACAAATCCACTTTGAACTATTCGCGATAAATAGAAGCGAGAGCAATATTTTTCACATAGCGTTCATTAGTTTAAATGTTTAGTTTGAATAATTCCAAAAAAAAACACTAAAAAATAATTATGCAAATTAAGTCAACGAAAGGCTTAAGACACGAACTTTTCTTGCATAGAAAATTAAAAATTGTTCCATAAATGGACAGTTTACCCTAATCATAAACGATCTGGAAGTTGAAATGATCCAGCTTTCCTCTGGCTTAGAGTCAACAATCGTTGTATTTCACGATTGAAACGATTTTTCATCGCATTTTGTTCTTTACGGAACGTTCAAACTACTCTCAATACTTTTGTTCCCGTTTTGGTTGTTTTGAAGGAACGTTCTTGACATTAGATTTTGTTCTCATGCAGGACTAAACCAAAACAGACAGCGCGTTCTCGGTCCTTTTTATTTCCATTTTTTTTATGAAGCTCTCTCCCAATCTCTTTTAGTTCCATCTTCTCGAGCCAAATTTTTGATTACACGTTTCAACAAAACTTGGAGGCGTTAATCGCCCTCATCTTATAGGCTTTTTGATACTTATTTCAAGCCCATTTACAAAATTTTTCTAACACCTTTAAAAATAACAAAAAAATATTGTTTGGACGTATTTTCGCCAAAGAAAAAAACACAGCGGGTTGGAAATTGAGTTGAGAATAATTTGCAAATCATACACTTATCACAGGTTGGAAAACTTTTTGTTTCTTTTGAAAACTGAAATGTTCGTGGCGAGCCCGCAAACCGCTGTGGCCGACTAGTCTATGTATATTTCGTTGTTCGGACTTGGCTCAAAAACTACTGGATATATTTGAGTTAAATTTTTGGGGGTTATTCCTGGCATATCTACTCTCATTATAGGCTACAAGAAACCTCGAGTTGAATATAATCGAGTCGGGATATTTAGAAAATCCGTAGATATTTAATAAGGAATACTCTTGATAAAAAAATAGACCCGCTAGGTGGCACTAGGTATTAATGGTCCAATCAGATTCAGATGCCGATAGATGGCGCTCGAGTCGAGGTGTTTAGAAAGTCGTTTAAACGTAACATAATAATTTGTTTATTTGCGAACCGTTTTTATTTTTCAACCGGGCATTTGCTAGTTTTTTATTGAGCTAGAGCTTTGTTCCAGTTTTTTTTTTTGTTATAATCAAACATGTTAAATAGTGCAAACACAAGTGTCTGTAGTTTCAGTTAAAAAAAATCTAAACACACACTACTGAGCAGAGAAAACTTTTGCTCTGTTCGCAACTCCATGTAAAATCTATCGAAAGCTTAAACGAGCTTCTCCCGCGGTATATGTATGTACATACAGTGACTCAAACAAATGACCACGTGTTGGGTTTTTTTAATATTCGTAATGTTTTTCGAGTTAAATTTTTTTTTGTTATTTTTCTATAAAAATACCTTTAACCAAAAACATATAAATCACAGTTTCAAACCTTTTACCTTTTGAAAAATTCAACAAATTTTCATCAAAATTTCAACCTCTTAAGCCAAAGTGCAAGTTTCAACCGGCTAAAAAATCTCGTTGATTTTTGAGAATTTTTTTTTGTCACGGATTTTTATACTTTTTTCCAAATAACCACGAATTTCTTATTAAATAAAATGTAGGAGACCGTATGAGTAACTGTATGATGTTTGTATGTATTTTGGAACAAGTTTCCGTTATCCTTTGCCGAATTTTGGTTAGAGACAAATAAGTTTTAAAGTTGTGAGATATTTTTTATAATGAAAATGGCACACAACAAATTTGGCAAGGAACGACACGAAAATTAGTTCCAAAATGCAAAATGTCGGAAACACCAAAAATCGAAAAGAAGCCACATATATATACTAACCTATCTAATCTTCTAAACATACTTTAAAACAATCCAAAAACCTCTTTCCTCAATAGTTTGTTCACATTCAAGATACTATGTTACATAAAGACATATATAATATAACAAAATCAGATATCAAAAAGCTAAAGTTTCAACAGACCTAACCTTATATTTTTCACCTTTATCCTGCTCTCTCTTACAAATATATTTACGAATTTAATAATGATACATACATACGTATAAAGTAAGTAGAAACACACACAAAATACTAACTAACTAAATATTGTATATTAAAACTAAAAAGAGAGCGAAAGTTCTTCACTTGAAACGATACCAAAGCTTAACTGAAAAGTACTAAATCTTATAAAGCCTATCTAATCATTAACACATATACTACATAAATACATACATATGTACATACATATAGTAAGTGCTTTAATAATTTAAAATTTTAACTTTGAAAATTAAAAAATAAGTTTTTATATACGTAAATGATAATTGTTACAAAGAAACATCTAATCTACTAAAATACACTACTAAACAAAAAAAGCTACGTACTCTGAAGGAGCTCATATAAAAAAGAAGCTTTCAAAGAAAACAAAACTTAGAAAAAAAAAATTAAAAATTACTTAAATAATCCAACAATCATTTAAACTCTTAAGCATTTAAATATAAACATTCTCCCTTTACTCCTAAACTGAACTTTAAACTCTCCAAAGAATTATATTTAAAATTTAGTAATGAAGAACTTATGAGAAATTAAAATTAAAACGAAGCTAAAAAAAGTATATTGAAGCATTTCAGAATTTAAAGCTGTTAGTTTAGGCCAAAAACAAGAGAGAAAACTTATGAGAAAAAAATTACACGTCACAAAATACTTTGTAAATATGAAAAATAAAAGTATGTATATTAGTAAATAAATAAATCAACAAAATAAACGATGCCATTTCCAACGAATTACAAAACGCTGTTTCAAATAATTATA